CACCGAGACCAGTCACATGTGTTGATGGCGTTGGCTGTCGTCACAATAAGCTTCCAATCATGTGGCCTTTGACCACGGCTCGATTCGCTCACCCACTGCTCGGCTCGGAATAGCATCTCCCAACGGCTCGCTCCGATGGCATCTTACAGGAAGTCCAGCGCAGCCCGGCCCAGCAGAAACACCTACACTAACGTCTCAGGTCCAGGCCGCCAGCCTCCCCTTCTGGTAGCGCGAGCCTCGTGCGCTGGACTGACCTCGAGAGGCGCGAACCCACATCGGCAGCAGCAGGTCGACATGGTTGGCCTCGTGCTTATCGTCCCAGACGGCGCCAGGCAAGCCAGGCACAGCGCCGGGTTGAAGGCGTGCAGGCAAGGCTGCGACGCGTCCGTTCCGAGCCCCTGCTCGACGATCCCGTCTCAACTCTTGACGAATAATCCCCTGATCGGCCTGCCTTTACCACCATTCATCCCCAGGCCTGTCTGCCAGATGTTGAAACCGGGCAGGCAAGGAAAGTGGTGGCGTGGAGTGGCTGATGATGGGTGGCTGATCAAGGGAATGGACATAAGTTAGACTCGTGGTGAGGGTCCTCACGGGTCCCTCACATCATCAATCTTACATCACGCTTTTCCAGACCCCATCTTTTTGTTCAATTGAATGCTTCATTGCCCCGAATCATTTGAGTCCTCTTCGGCCCTACTTCAATATCCACCGGACAGATCGAGGGGGGGATAAAAAAAGCCACACTCCTTGGAGGCGACCTCACTTGAACCATTCTATTATAGGTCCTTTATATCAGCTCAAACTGATAAAAGTTTATTTGCCCTCAGTAGCAGATATGGGAATCAACAGGAATTTGCCGAGAAAGCCAGCAGAAATCGCATAAGAAATGGGGGTTCAAAGTTGGTTGTTGTATTCGTTAGAAAGAGAAGTCAAAAATGGGTATCTGGTGAACCTTCAATGCTACATGCCCTCGTCAAATGAATACCCCCGTTGCATTGCACTTCCTATCCCGTTCTCCCAAGTAACCATCTTCCACCAGGCCGCCCACGGCCTTAACCTATGTAATACTACCCATTTTTTTTTTATATATACGGCACCCTGTTTATATCCATTTAATCACCTAGAGGGTGATAGCTTTGGTTCTCTAGTTATACGGTCTTCTAAATATGTCCTAAGTAAAAAGAAAGAAGAGAAGCTAGCATTAGCAACTATTATTAGGTATCGGATCCTATTAATTAAACTATGACCCTCATAGACCCCTAAGGGACCTAGGTCGATGATAGAGGATAATAGCTATAATTATAATGTAAAATAGCTTAAATGAAAAGAAGAAAGTATAGACGTAGGATTAGTTATAGAGAGGAGACCGGTTATAATAATAGGTTATATAGTAGTCTCTAGTAGCTAAGATAAGGGCCGATAATAGGCTATTTACTAAAGAACCGCTAAATTAAGAAATTAGTCGTAGAAGACGTTCTAGTAATAATAAGGGATTAATCGTAATAATAAGCTAAGTCGTCGAAAAAAGGAAAAATAGCTATATTATAGAATTAGATATCGTATTATAGGTACTAAGCTATTATAATGAAGAATTAATAGTGATAAAGAATTAGTAGTAATAAAGAATTAGTAGTAATAAAGAATTAATAGTAATAAAGAATCGGTTATAATAATAGACCGAATCGTCGTAGAAATAGTTATATAAGTAGAACTAGATAAGGTATTATAGGAGATAAATTATAATAACGAAAAATTAGTTATAATAATAGACTAAGCTATTAGAAAAGTAATTATATTATAGAGACGATTATAGAGTTATAGAGAATGAAATAATTAAGATAAGGAATTAGCTATAGTAATAGACTAAGCCGATATCGCTAGGTCTATTATAGAGGGTTAATAGGTTATAAGAATAGGGTTAAGCTTAAGCCTAAGCTTCTAAGCTACCCTCTAAGGATAGAATTATATATAATAGTAATAGTATATTAAGTCTAAGTACTAACTCTAGATCCTCCTAGTTATTATTACTATCCTATTAACGATATAGGCTAAGCTCTATAAGTAGTTATTCTAATTAAATAATCTATCTTATTATAGGGTTAGCTATAACTCTTTAAGCCTTACCTCGGATTATATAGAATAAAACCCTATTACCCTCGTAGGCTAATAAGGGATCCCCTATATATATAATTAAA